CAGAAAGAAGTCTCATGAAACAGTCTTACAATAAACAAGAGTTTTCTTCTTTCCTCCTCCACCAATACTGAAGGAAAACGGAAAACCAAAGTGAGAAAGGACGGATGTTTTGTGCCACAACAGAGAAGCAGGTCCCACATGCGTGCTAGGCCATCAGTAAACACCCAGCGCATAAATACATTTGATTTGGACTAAAAGCAGACCAGGAAAAGTGAAGGTAGAATGGGGTTGTGGGTGAATAATTCCTTGGGCTCAATTTAGACCCTTTGAACCCTCCACCTAGGAAAATGTAATTTCAAATGAGTTCCCCAGATGTATGGCTAAAATGTCTTCATAGTCTGGGACAGAAGGAAAGGCTCATAATAACCCACAAGGTTGAGATTCCAGAGAGGCGGGTGACAGGACAGAAGCCAAGGGTTAGTCTGGCAGCAGAAAGGGTTGGAGATGAATCTCTGACCTCCATACTTGACACTTCTGCTATTCAAGCGATGCCTCCCCGATTGGCAGCATGAGCATCACCCAGAGGCTTATTGGAAATGCTGAATCTCAAGCCTGACCCAGCCCTACTTAATCAGAACCTGCATTTCAACGAGATCCCCAGATGTGCACGTAGAGTGAGCCTGAGAAGCGCTTCCCTACCCCACCAGTGAGATGTATGGAGAAGTCCGTCAATGGTAGAAGCTGAAGGACCATTTAGGCCATGTGAAAGCAGTGGTCTCCTATGATCCATGACCAACACCCAAGTGTTGGACTAACGTCACAAAACAGTCTCCCCTCGACGCTGCAGGATGAGAAAGTCATGTCCGGCTCTCAAGACACATCACTGTTTTCTGGGAGCTACAAGCAGAGAACTAGCCGTCAAAGCCAAGCTGTCTTACTGCCATGCTTCCTGACACACGCCTGCATTTGGTTAAAAGGACATGGGACACGGGGCGGGGGGGATACTACTCAGCAATAAAAAGGAACAGACTCTTGATACCTGCAACATCATTGGATGGATCTCAAGGGCATTGTGCAGAGTGAAGCAAGCCACTTACTGAACAGTTCTATTTATAGAACATTCTCCAAATGACAAACCTGTAGAGGTAAAACACAGTTCTGTGGCTGCCAGGGCTGGGATCGTATGAGAGGAGGAAGGGCGTGGGAGTGACTAGGAAGCGGGGGCACAGGGACACCTTTGTGGTGCAGAGCAGTGATTGGGGTGGTGGTAAAATGGATCTATACTCGTGACAAAGTGGCATTGAATTAGACACACGCAGTGTGCCGATGTCAATTTCCTGGTTTCGATATCGTACTAAAGACAGTTAAAATGCCTCCACTGGGGGGAAGTGGGTGAAGGGTACAAGGACCTCTCTGTACTATCTTCACAACTTCCTGTGAATCTGTAATTATTTAAAAACGAAAAGCGAAAAGAACAAAACAAAAAGGAGATGGTGGTCACGAGGCTATGATTTGATGAGATGCATCCTCATTGTAAAACATCCATGGAGCCTTGTTGTAAGGCTTTTACTTGATTTCTTGCCTCTTTTACCAAAGACATCATTGTACACTGAGGTTCCTTTACCTAAGTCCTCCTGGATGCAATCCAGAATGTTCTATCCCACTAAATGTTGTTACCGCAAGGTTCTAATACATGAGTGTAGCAAGAGGAGTGTGACATGTTCAGTCTAGGCGCACAGAACATCAGCTCAGAAAGGCTTTCATTTAGAGTAGGTCCAGAATGGAGAAGGGGCCCAGCCAAAGTCACCAAGTAGTCGATGGCAGCAACAGGACTGGAGGCGGGATCTGGTGCCCAGCCCGGAGCCCAGAGCCCCTCCATTCCACCCACCTGCCAACTCTCCTGGCAGCTCTTCATCCCAGAGTTTTGAGGTGGCATTAAAATTCAGAACTCATCCGAGGTTAACTCTGAAAGCAACATCCAAAGAACGCATCAATGCCAACAGGGCATCTCTTTTAATTGCCTATTCACGCAGATAGATTGTCTTTTCATGTTCGGAGCTAAACTTGGAGGCATGTCCTTTCATAGGGCACTCATTACCCCACTGCCTCATCAGTAATGGGAACTAATGTGCAACGTGATTGCTGAGTACGAGTTCTATTTTCTCCTACCAAGCAGGAAGTTTAAAATCTGCTGGGTTATTTTTAAAGAGTGTGAAAAAATAGGCATCCTACCAGCTTCCCGGTGGTCCTGTCCAAGACACATGCTGTTTTACCCAAGGCACTGGCCAGGTTGGGAGGGACACAGGTGATGTGAAGTTTCACCAGGAGGATTTCTCAGTGGAGGGGTGGGGCATGAGGGTCCACATACTCAAGTGGCAGGAAAGGACGAGGGCTAGCTGCCACTTTGTTGAGGACAGTGATCCTGGCATTTTCTGGAATTGACAATTGGTGTTTTTTTCTCCTGGGGATTTGTGACTACCTGTCTCCTCTTCAGCCATGGTCCCCAACCCTGGACTGAGAGTCGAACCAGTGGGTCTGTCCCTGCTCGGTCATTTGCGGGGCGTTGGACTCACGTCAAATGGGTCACAAATGTGAGTCTCACGTTCCCGAGTAGATGAGGAGTTAGGGAGAGCGAATCCCTGCAACTCTAATATTTAGCAAATATAGTAATAGCGTGAAAGCATTTTTAGTACTTATATTTAGTATTTATATGAAATATTTATAGTACTTATATGAAGGAAAATCTAGTTGAACTTGGCTTCCATTGACTTAAACATTTCTTGATCACTGACTTTGTGTGAGGTACCATGCTAGGAACTAGGATTGCAATAGAGCTGTTTTTGGAGAAGTTCTCCACATTCCCTGGAACAAGTAGCACGACCCTAGAGATCACAAACCACCCTGGGAATGGCTGCGGTAGAAAGTTCTAGAAATGAAGGACAGCTGATGGGCACTGAGGAGGGCACTTGAGGTAATGAGCACTCAGTCTTATATGCAACTGATGAATCCCTAAATTCTATCTCTGAAACTAATAATACACTATGTGCTAACTAAATTGAATTTAAATAACAATAGTTTAAAAAAAGGAATGAAGGGCAGAATTGTTAACCCTCCCTTCCTTGTGTGACTCATCAGGTTCTCCTTCCCTCTGCTTGGGTCTTACAAGTCTGGAAGTGCCTTTCTCTGTTACTGTGTAGGGCCTGTACAAAATAGTTTGCTTAATCTTCTCAACGATGCTATTAACTAGTTATATTTACACCAATTTTTCAGAAGAGATAAACGAAAACTGGACTTTGTGAGTGACTTGTCCAGTGTCTCAGGGCTAGCCAGGGACTGTACTGGCTTGGACACGTGAACGTTTCCAGACCAGCTTGCAGCCCGAAGCTTGGCAATGGCTGGGCATCTCCCTGATGGGAACCCTCAAGCCAAGAAGCCCAGGAAACCGTCTTGCAGTGTGTCTGGTCGGGCCAGTCGGAAAGGGATCTAGAGTGGTGTGATATGGATCTGCGCCCATTCGTCTGTGACTCAAGCTAGCGACTGCCAAGCGGGGGGCAGAGGGAGCGAGCGCGGAATTTGAAGACGACAGGGAACCCAGGACTAGGGAAATAAAAGATTTTCTCCAACGGCTGTGTGGGATCCTTACCCTTTATCCACCCTGCCTGAACACGGCGCAGTGATAGACAAGGTGGGATGAAACAAGGCCCAGCTGGACTAACACTTTTGGCCTGGGGCTTCACAGGGAAAAACAACGCAAGCCACAGAACCGGAATCACAGGACTAAACAATCTCAGGGGCGGAGAAGATCTTAGAAGCCCTTCCATCCAACCGGACCCTGAGGGGTGACTACACTGTCTTCTAGCTTCTGCCTCCCGTGATGGGAGCTCACACCTTGATCCCCATTTTGGGTGGGCTTCTCCTTCTTTTGGGAAGCATGGATGACATTTAAATACAGTATATACAAGACCAACCACACATGGGCATTTTGGGGGCCGCAGAAGCCAAGTTGGGGCCTTTGTGTTTAATCAGGTGGCTGCATGCACACCCTCCTTCCAATTCCTCCTAGCCGTGGAAGGGGTGGAGGGTGCTTTGTGGCGGGCAGGTGGGCTCAGCCTTCTCCCCTCAAGCTGTTAAGGGCCTCATATGCTACGGGCTTCACTAAGGACTGAATGACAAAGGACTGAACGACAAAGCCTCCCGTCAGAGAAGTAAAAGGCAAATGCCGTACCATATACTTGATCTTTGCAAAAGGAATAAATCAAATGGCGTACTCACCCGAGGCCACACAGAGGGTGATGCAGGGCCAAAAATAAATCGACCTTCTGTTCTCCAGGCCTGACTCAGAGTTCTGGCCCCCGGCCCTCGGATACTTCTTAAAGAAACAGAGCTTGCCTGCTAAGCAGGGCCCAGGGGCTAGTGAGGTCAGCAGTTTACTGGGCCTCCCTGGCCCAGGCCTCCTTGCCCTGGCTTCCTGTAGGTCTTGTGGGTGAGCCAGGGGATATCAGTCTCCACCCAGCCCCGGGCTGGGCCAGAGCGGAGCAGGTGGGGCCTTGGTTTGACCTCAGTGATGAGGATACCCAAGAAGAGAGCTGCTTGTCCCTCTGTGACCCCCCTGCACCCCAGATGCTGCCGCCACCACAAACATCAAGTCAGGCTGGCCCTCGGTGGGAGACACGCCATGTGGGGAAAACTTCTTTTTCTCCATCTTCCCACCCCCCAGAAAGCTTCCTTAAGGCACGCAAGTGACAGCCAGAGCTAAACGCTCTGCAGGCCGATTAGCTGCATTAGGCCAGTGGCCGGGGTGGTGGCGCCTGTAAGTCCTCCAAGGGGGGGCACCCACAGGTGTATGCAGACCCCGGGGACTCGAGCCTGCACACCAACCTCTGCTTGACAGAGCGGACAGGTGGCGGCCCACTGCCAACGACACGAGCCCGTCTTTCACCTCGTGTCTTCATTTTCCTCGACTCTTTCTGCAGGGCCACATTTTCCAGTCTTTCAACTGAATGAAGTTCTCAGGCCCCACCTGCCGGGAAAGAGCTCGCTCGTACCACACACACGATGCGCGGCTTGGGAAAATCATTTAATGACAGAGAAAGCACACACCAGACTATAACAGAAGCCCGTCGGGAGTTGCCCCTGCACAACTCGGAGGCCAGAGGCCCCCAGCTAGCATAAGACATTCGCGGGGAAGTCAGTCGTGGTGAAGGGAACATCATACAGCATTTCTGAGAACACAGAGGAGGAAGGAGGCAGCGGTGACTCACACACTGGCTGTGGATCTTCTGGAACGTGGCCTCCTCCGCAGGCAGTTTCGCTCTCCCCCCACCCCCCCCCCCTTCATCTGATGGTAGGGCCTGGGGAGGTTTGCAAATGACCAAGTAGGAGAGAGGCCTCGTGGATCCAAATCACTTGAGGGCCAATGATGTAGGCAGACGCGGCCCAGGCGCTCCATGGGTCACACCCATGTAACTTGGCATTAGTCCTCTGGACGGTGGCTCAGGGAGCAAGTACGATGGGTAAAAGCAGCTTCTCTAGAGTCTAGGGTCTGGGCACGACTTCGCAAAGGCATGCTAGGAAAGAGGTTTACCCATGAGACTTTGCCAACCCCAAAGGCTGAAAGTCATTCTCGTTTCTAACTAGGTTTCAAATTAACGGACAAGAAAAAAAAAAAAAGGCAGCAACTCAAAAATTACTTGGAATATTGTGGCACTTCACCAATCTCTTTTGCTTATAATATATGGCAGAGCAAAACGGAACCCTGTCGATATAAACTTTCATTACAGATAACCCTATAACTGTACACTCTCAGAATACAGAAAGAATCCTTCCTATCGTACATGTTTCATCTTTAAAAATAATCTAACATAGTCATATTATCTGGCTAGTAACAAACTATTAACATCTTCTGAGAATACAGAGAAAACTTTGGGATTAACAGTAAATCCCCTGGCGTGCGCCCTCCCCACCCCTCATCAGCATCATCTATGAACACATTTCTGCAAAAGCATCCCAGAATCATTGTTAAAGGAAAGGAATATGTTCTAGTTTTCACCAAATGGATTTTTAGCAAGAAGTGATGGAACATTTTTTACCTTGGCAAAAATGAAGCACAAACATAACATTTCACTGGTTCGGGCCCATGCAAATGCATGTCTTGTTATGTGGGGGTGTTTTATTCTCACCCCGAAATCACGATTAGCATGCACATTGTTTTCAACTATCAGGTTAGAGATAATTATTGGCAGTGCACCTCTCTGTGTAACCATGATCACTAAGGCAAGATTATTATTTTACCTTGTATAGACTATCAGCAATATCTTGTCAAATGCATGTTTATATAGTATAGACCTGCAACTTACTGTTTTTTTAAAAACGAAAACAAAAAACAAAACTCAAAACACAGATCCCTAAACACAATTCAATTGAAAATGAACTGTTAAGCTTTTAGAAATAGATTTTAAACTACAAGGCTGCCCTGTTTTTTTGTTTTGTTATGAACATTTTAAAAAGTTCCCACCCCTAAAAATTTGCCAAATTATTTCTTCGCTATTGGTAACAGTCTCGCGAATTCGCTACCATGGCTGACTCTCCCTGAACTGCAGTGACGAAGGTCCTTCATGGGAACACGACGCTCGTCAGGGTCAGACCAGTTACGTTCTCCGGCTCTCAACCGGCAACCCAGACGACCTTTAGTCCTCAATCCATCCATTGGACGGTGGTCCCGGTGATGGGTGTTTGACCGCCCCAGGGGTGCTTTCCGATGGGCTTGGCTTGGCTGCCCCATGTTGACCTTCGCGCGCTGGGCCCCACTGCCATCTGACTAGTGGCATGTCCTTTGTTTTTCAACAGGAACGCACGGGAGCTGAAATTGCTTATTCGAGAGAAGCTGAGGCAGTAGACAGCTCCTTGGCCTAGCCAAAAACAGACGCCAGGTGAACTTGGTATGTGTTTGTGTGAAGCTGATGCAGCAGCAGGATCTGGAAAGTCCCCGGGGACCGTTCCCTGCTCTGGACGTTTCATACGACAGAACCTTTGGAAGAGGACAGGTGGATTGACTGAATCCTGATGGCCAACGTCCTCTGTAAGTCCTGGAGCACATCCTGGCCTGTCCCTTCGCCATTTTTGTCATAGAGGAGCTGCTTGAAGGCCTCGTTTTCGATGAGGACCATCATGTTTTTGAGAAAGTAGCCTTCACAGTACGCGGAGAGCTCTGTGACTCCAAGGAACTGTGGAGAGAGACAGGAAGCAGGAGGAGATTATGTTTCTGAAATGCACCTGGCTGCCTGCATGCCTATGAGTGGAGAACAGCCGTGAAGGTAGACTGACGACAACAACAGCCCTGTATTCGCCTAGAGGGCTGGGGCTCATTTCTCCGCGGCTTGGCCCTGTGACTTCCTCAGGCCAACAGCAGGGGGCAGCAGTGAGAGCTGCCAATCCCGAGCGAGCTTTAAGAGGCCAGGTGTGGACTTTGCGCTCTTGCTCAGAACCCGGGCTCTGCAGCAGAACAGGCCCAGGCGAGCCTGCTTGGAGGGTGAGCGGCTCCAGGAAACTGAGAGGAGACAGGGACAGAGCCCAGCCAGGGTCACCAGAGCCAAGCACAGAGGACCAGCCAGCTGACTTCAGAAGCAAGGCCCGTGGAGACCAAAAGACAGAAGCCTTACAAGCTCTGGAAGCTGTAGAAAAGGTCTGAAGATAGCCAACCGACATATCCACATTTACTTCTGTGCCTCAAACATGAGTCCCTCCACCAGGCTCAGTGAGAGCCTGTCGACTCATGGGCTGAAAAGTGCTTACTGGTTTAACCTTTGGGTTTTGCGTTTCTTTGTTGTACGGTAGCTAACCCGCACATGAATGGAGTTGCAGACACAGCTCTAAGCTCTTCAAGTATTAGCCCATTCGACTCTCACAGCAATCCCGAGTGGGCACGGACGACCTATGCCCCGGATTTAGGGCAGTGGTTTCTCAACCAGGGGTGATTTTGCCTCCCAGGGGACATCTGGAAAAGCCTGGAGGCAGTCTGGTTGTCACAACTGGGTGGTGGTGATGATGTACGTACTATCGGCATCTAATGGGTGGAAGCCAGGGATGCTGCTAAAGCTCTCACGATGCACAGGACAGCCCCTGCCGCAGAGGATCCTGCAGCTCAAGCTGTCAGTGCCGAGGCTGAGAAAGTGATCTAGAGACGGGGTTCCTCACAGACTAAGCCAGTGGGGAAGGGATTATGTTGACCTAGCTCAGGGGCCAAGCCGAGGGCTTGGCAGATGGCAGACACTTAGCTTTGTTGAATGTATGAGTGAACAGTTAACTAACAGAGTAACAGACTCACAGTGAACATTTACCGAGTGCTTACAATACACCAGGCACCTTGCAAGGCACTTCGCGTGCATCATCTCATTTAATCTTCAACTTTCCTGGAGGCAGGCGTTATTACCACCTCCAATTTACAGACGAGGAAACGGACAAGAGAGTAACTTACAAAAAAAATCATGCAGTGCGTCCAGGGCAGAACCAGGAATGGAACCCTGGTAATTCAATCCTTAAGGCTGTGTGCTTAACCATCAAGACATTGCCTCCAGCCTGACACCATTACTCAGAGGGTGGGTATTTAGCTGCATGCGTGTGCCTGGTGGAGGGACTCATGTTTGAGGCACAGAAGTAAATGTGGATATGTCGGCTGGCTGTCTTCAGACCTTTTCTACAGTTTCCAAAGCTTGTAAGTCTAACACAATGAACTGGATGCTCAGAAGTTGTTAAGTGCCCCTTGAGATGACATCCTGCTGCTTTATTTAGATGAATTATCTAAATCATCTAAATGCTGAATCATTCTTCTGAACTCCCTAATATCCTGTCCTTCAAACTAGAGATGCACTTTAAGTTGGTAGATGTGGAATGGTGCAATGATAATGAGCAGTGCCAACAGGGTTTCAGTGGAATGAGCTGGAACACTTGGTTTCAAGTTGGGGCTCCCCCACCTTCCTGAATATGTGACCAGGGCTGGGTCACTTGGCCCCTAGCTTGGGTTCATCATTTTCAAAATGAGAATTAGGACACCAGCATCCCAAGTCTTGTTGGGATGATTTATGGCATGATTCTGTCATTTGTCACACTTAGGAGAGGCAGAGCTAAGGGAGGGGACTCTGGGATCTTTCCTTCCTCCCTCCCTCCTTCCTTCCTTTCTTCCTGATTTATGACTTTAGCCATCAGCTGTTGGGCAAGTATATAATCTCTCTTTGCCTCAAAATTCCTATCCGTAAAATGGGGATGATGATAATACCTACTTAATAGTCTGTTGTTGAGACTGAATGAGATAATGCAAGGAGTGTCAGAGTAACGGTCAACTGTAGTCAGCACTCACTGCTAGTTGTCATTATAAATGTAAACTATCACTCTCCTTCTCACCAACTGGTATCCAGTGACCCACATGGACAAAGTACGTGGCCAGGCTGGGAGAAAGGGAACTGACTGTATCTACAGAACGTAGCCCAGGGGCGCCTGGGTGGCTCAGTTGGTTGAGAATCTGACCCTGGGTTTTGGCTCAGGTCATGATCTCACGGTCGTGGGATTGGGCCCCACATCAGGCTCCGTGCTCAGTGGGGAATCTGCTTAAAGATTCTCCCCCTTTGCCCCTTCCCCCCGCCTATAAATAAAAATACATCTTAAAAAAAAAGCACCTAGCCCAGCTAACTGGCCCTTAGAAGGACCACGCCTGTAACCATGAACTCACTGACGCCATGTGCTAATTCACTGAGCCAACGGCAACTCTGTGTATAAAAACCATGTGCAACCTTATGCAAATCAAATCACTTTTCTGTGCCTCAGTTTCCCCAGTTATAGAATGAAGGGAATGAACCAGAGGCACCAGGTAATTATGAGGTCTCTGAGAGATCCAGAAGATGTGGTGAGGTTTATCAGGTGAGAGGGCTTGTTACCACCCAATGTTCACATTGGGGCTGGGAGAGATCTTAGGAATGCTTTCATTCTTTCTTTTTTTTTTTTTTTTTTAAAGATTTTATTTATTTATTTGAGAGAGAGAGAATGAGAGAGAGCACATGAGAGAGGGGAGGGTCAGAGGGAGAAGCAGACTCCCTGCCGAGCAGGAAGCCCGATGCGGGACTCGATCCAGGGACTCCAGGATCATGACCTGAGCCGAAGGCAGTCGCTTAACCAACTGAGCCACCCAGGCGCCCGCTTTCATTCTTTCAACATGAACCCTGCTCTTAGAGTCACAGAGTAAAAGCCCTCACTGTACAGGCAGGGAAACTGAGGCTCAGAGTTGCCTATCTTTGATTCTGTGGACACAGAGAGCATCCCCCTTTACCACACCTGGCCATTCACTTTGTATACGAATGTCACTCAGCATAAGGTAGTGTAAGTGGAGAACAGTAAGTGTAAATGGAGAACAGTAAATACTTACATTTATATTTGGTGATATTTATTCAATGGTGACTATACATCAGACCCTTGACCACCTCCACACAGCTAATTACTGACAGAACTGGGGTGCGGACTCTCATCTCCGGGACCAGTGGTTGGCAAACTGTGGGCCTGTGGGCAAAATCTGGCCCACTAACTGCTTCGGTAAATAAAGTTTTATTAGAACACAACCACATCCATCATTTACGTATCGTCTGTGGCTGCTTTTGTGTGACTGCGGCAGAGTCGAGGAGGTAAAACAGCAACTGTATGGCCTGTGTGGAAATATTCACCTGGCCTTCCACAGAAAAGTCTGCTGACCTCTGTCCCTAGACTATAATTTTTCAAGGGCAGAGACTATGTCTTACTAATTTATTATATTCTGATGAATACAGTTCCTGGTAAACAGTGGGTGCTCGATGAACACTAATGAATCCCCTGGGTTCCAAACCTGTGTTCTTTCTAGCACAGTGCACTGTTGAGCTTACTGCACTAGCTTAGATTCAATTTGATGAACCAGCCTATTCTTTTTCCCAGGTTGAAAGATAATCCGAAAGGGCCATCAGAAGCTCCAGGCACCCCCCCCCTTTTTTTTTTTTTAAGATTTTATTTATTTGTCAGAGAGGGAACACAAGCAGGGGAAGTGGGAGAGGGAGAAGCAGGCTTCCCGCGGAGCAGGGAGCCCGATGCGGGGCTCGATCTCAGGACCCTGTAATCATGACCTGAGCCAAAGGCAGACGACTGAGCCACCCAGGCGCCCCCCCAGGACCCCTTTTTCATGACTGAATAGTTTGGAACAGCTTTGCCGGGGGAAAACAAGATGGCTAAGCCATGCATTTATGGGATGGTCTTCTCATCTGTATAAGGTTCCACAGCTGTCTCAGTTAGATGTCATATAGAGGTATTGTTGCCCAGGGCGTTGACATTTGGAGCATTGTTATTAGCGTGTAAATGCCTGTGTTTCCTGGGGTTCCAAACCCAGAGTTGGTTTCTTTCTTTTCCATCTTTTACTAAACTAGCCTCAATTTGCAGCCCAGTCTGCCAGGAATAGAACCCAGGCAGCATGTGATCATCAGTGGTGGGGCAGTACCCAGAGCCCAGGGAAGCAGCACAGAGAAAGGGCACGGGCTGGCTGGCTTTGCCCTGCCCTCCATGCAAGTATCACGAGGGGCCGACTTTTGCATTGGAAACACAGCAGGATGTGGCCTGGGGCCGCGGCAGTGGCTGGTGTGTGTAAAAGGCAAAGCTCTGGCTACAAAGGTGTATACGCCAAAGGGGGAGCTCCCTGCCAGAGGTATTCAAAGCCTGCAGCACACGTGTATTCCCAGCCTGGGCTCACACCGCATCCGGCTGCATTATTAAATATGAGAGCTACGGAAGCCGCTTGCCAAGGAGCCTGGAGTGATTAAAATGGATCGCTGTCAAGAGAACGGGCCACGGCAAATCCACTGCTGGATGCTGGGTTCACAGGGCACTTGGAGTGTCCATGGCCAGGGGAGGGGAAGAACTACAAGCTAATAATCAGGCTCTCCTCTTGGGTAGAGAGCAGCCTCTGGATGCTTTCCTGCAAAGTCATCAGTTTAAGATTTAAAAAAAAAAATGTACCGTGTCCTGAGAAACCAGATTTTGGTAAAACCTTCACTTAACTAAAATACCTGGTGCGTGTGCGTGCATGTGTGTGCGTGTGCGTGTGTAGGAAACAGCTTGTAGTTGTTGATTTACTGATGGCCAATCAGAAGATCTTTTCTGAGTATCAACAATTATTGCACATATTTCAAACATTTATTAGGCCAGACAATAAACACAAAGTTAGGAACCTGTGCTTTGGAGTAAGACAAATCTAGACTTACACTTCTGGGTATATGCCCCAAAGAACTAAAAGCAGAGACTTGAACAGATACTTGTCCCCCCC